GATATTAGGTATCCATAGAAATGCGTGGAATAAAGATTTATTTTCGATGTANTTTTTTTTTTTTCTATTCATTCACGAATGTTAGGAAAATCATAGGTTTTCGAAAATGATCATTGGAATTTCTCTGTTGGTTAATTGATCTATCCATTATCGAAAAGATTTAGATATTTAGATTCGAAAACGGATCGATAATTGAAACATTGATATTAGATATTCATAGAAATGGAATAAATTTATTTCGTTGTATTCTTCTTTTCTGTTCATTCACGAACGTTACGAAAATCATTTTCGAAAATGATGCGATGGATATTATTGGATTTGGAATTTTCCTTTTTCTGTTGGTTAATTGATCGATCCATTATCGAAAAATATTTAGATTCGAAAGCGGATTGGTAATTGAAACATTGATATTAGATATCCATAGAAATGGAATAAAGGTTTATTTCTTTGCATTCTTTTCTTCTGTTCATTCACGAACGTTACGAAAGTCATGGGTTTTCGAAAATTATGTCATTGGAATTTTCCTTTCTCTGTTGAAATAATTGATCGATCCATTATCGAAAAATATTTAGATTCGAAAACGGATCGGTAATTGATGAAACATTGATATTAGATATCCATAGAAATGGAATAAAGGTTTATTTCGTTGTATTCTTCTTTTCTATTCATTCACGAACATTGAAAATCGTAGATTGTGATGGAATCATTAATTAATTAATCTTTTATCGAAAACTATTTAAATCTTGTTCGAAAACGGATCAATTTAACTGAATCATTGATATTTGAAAACGATAGCAATAGAAATCATTCGTGTTATGATTTTAGTTCGTGTGCTGGTTAATCAATTAATCCACTATCGAAAACTATTTAGGTTTTGCTCGAAAATCGATCTAATTGAATCATTGATATTATATATCTATAGAATTATGCGGAAGAAAGATTTATTTATTATTATCGTTGGTAATTAATTCATTTAATTCGTTGAAAATCCTAGATTGTGATGGAATCGTTAATTAATTAATCCATTATCGAAAACTGTTTAAGTTTTGTTCGAAAACGGATCGATCTAATTGAATCATTGATATCACCTATCTATGGAAATACGTGGAATAAAGATTTATTTCGTTGTATTTTCTTTTTTTTTTTTTTTTTTTTGGAATTGTGTACTCGGAATTTTTATCGTATTCGTATTATTGTTCGTTAATTAATTAATCCATTGTTGAGAATGTATACGATGTATGTGGAACGATGTGGATTTTGTTTTTAACGGGAGCAATATCAATTCATATCAAAGTAACAAAGCAAATATAACCGTTCAAACAATGAAACATTCGGACAGCAACTTATGCGGATAATAGAACGTTTGGATAATAGGTGTTTGAATAATGGATACTCTGCTGGATATAGATATAGCGTTGGCCTGTAGTTATTAAACTTCGTTTATTTATGGGGTCATAAAATGGAAAATTGCCGTTGTCACGCATCTGTGACATCAATGAGGACGTCGGTATCGTGTGAATCGATACCGCACATATATCTGCATATCTGATAAATACTAACGACCGTATTAAAAAAAAAAAAAAAAAAAAAAATATAGAGACGCGTTTTAGTCTTCAAGCCACGGTTACAATGCGATAAAAAAGTGTATTAAAGTCCTGTTCACTTCGTTAAATAACGACAAGATCTCGATTAACAGGATTATCTCAGGCCCTTGATCGATCTCGATCGATATCGTGCCGTTTCAATTATTTCTTTCGTATCAAATGGAACGTACTCGCGTACGCGTGACGAACGAAAATTAATTAGAATGGAAAAACGTAATCGTTGTTATTAAATCGTGAAAAGATACGAATCTCTCCACGTTGGTAACAGTCCACTATCCATATATCTAGCTAACACTCGAACAATTGTTGATTCTTACATTTTGGAATTGAAAAATCATAATTAAAATGATGATTTATTTTCTCTCTATATATAGGATAGAGTTAATATAAGATTAAAATAATTCGAATAAAACATCAAGAAACATCTCGATACGCAACATCGTGTGACAGTATCGCGTTCGTTGAACACGTTTTTATCGTTTTGGTCGAACGTTTGGAGACAGAGGCGAGACGTATATCGGTTAATTAAGCGTATTAACGCAATTTTTTTTCTTTTTTTTTTACCGAGTATTTAACATCGGAGAAAATTGTGGAAATAATTTACGATACCGCGACTGCATTAATTAATTCCCTCTTTAATTAAAGGGTGTCGTATGTAAGTAGTTGATAAATTGCAGTTTTCCATTAGGGTATAACGCGTATCCGGTGAATGCCGATTATTAACCGCGTTATCCGCGAATCTTTGTCATTTTCACAGGCCACCGATACACGGATGAAATTAAATTTAATGCGACCAAGTATGAAAAGTCGATAATTGTTCTCATCGCGTGTATTTAAATATTTATATATCGTTCGATATTAACGCGTCGAATAGAGATATATTGGAAATGATGTTGGATACCCGTGATGACGGTCGTGTAATTAATAGAGGTGATTATGAAAATAAAACGAAAAAAATTTTAATTTTAACCTCATCGCTCGAAATTATCGAGCGTCGAAATTCGTCGAAAATTACAATATCTTTAATTTAACGTAGCTAAATTGAAGCTAAAAATGAAGATTTTCGATGAATTAACTATCGTGTTCCACGTATCTTTCCAAAAGCGCTATTGCAAATAAAAAAAAAAAAATACTTTATCAATCAACGTGGTTTTTTCCCCAAAATATCACGATCACTCTTCCAAAATGCGCTTTTTCTGGAGATCTTTGAATTTTTCGAAAACGGTATCATCAAAAGAGATTACCATTCAACGATTTTCCAAAACGTCGTGACCAAATTTTGGGACTTTTCCTTGGAATTTTTCTTAAGGAAAGAACGAGACAAAATTTGAACACGAGAGATTCTTCGAATTTTTCGAAAAGATCACGCTATTTCTCTTTCTTCCAAGTTGAAATTCCACCAATCAATGGCCTTTTCAAAATGTCATAACCATTTGACTCCACGGTCTTCGAATCTTTCTCACGATACTTCTTCTTCAAAGTTTATTATACAATTTATTTACCCACACGATTCTTCGAATATAATAGTTTATCGAGCTCATACCATAGCATTTTACCATAGCAATTTTAAAAAATTCTGTTCAAAAGATAAATCTCATCGATCATTCCGTTTCTTTCACAAATTTATGCGGAAAACTTGCGCTTTCGAATCGTTTCGTCCTCCAAAACGTAACGCGATATTTTTACGAAGCTTAAGAGGACCATTAAGGATCGACCATTCGATCACCCTGGCCGACGCGATTCTTGGCGAAAGTCGCGCGGACGTGTAATCGAGTTTAACTTCTCCCCCGCACGAAGGCGACTTCCCCCTCCTAGTTAGTCGTATCCAGGAGCCTAATTTCATCTAATTTCAACCGGATCTCTAACTTTAATGCTCGAAATACTTTGTAAACCAGGCGAACGCCGTTCTAATTAATTCGTGCGCTTGTTAACGGCCCCCATTCGAGACTTTAATTCGCTTTAAACCGAAATCTAGTTAAGCAGATTCGTAATCGTGATTACGAAAATTGTTAATACCATTCTTGATCGAAATTGCGCGCCGATATTCGGATATCGAGTTGGTAGGGACTAACGATATCTTTTCTTTTCTTTTCTTTCTTTCTTTTTTTTCTCGAAATATTTATCTACACGCGTGCAAATTAATGTTACAGAATTATTGAAATTTAACGCGTAAAACGTAAATATTAAGCGGGGTATTATACACGTTCAACGGGGTATAATAGATTATTATGTTAAATTATTAAAATGCAGCCAACCGGATCAAAACATAAATACAATGGACCGATCCCTGTGGGGCAAGAATTTCGAATAAACGAAACGCGCCACTAATTCGCTCGAAACTAATTGATTCGAAATAACGTAGCGTATTCGCGTAAGTAAAAATAATTTTCTCCAAATGAAAAAAAAAAAAAGAATTATTCCTCTCCTCGTCTATCCGACTATGCACGGAAATATAACGAATTAAATTAAGAGGATCACGAGAAAGAAATATATATATTTATATATTGATATTTTTATTTTTTTTCTGCCCCAGGAGGCAGGAAACCTCCGGAAGAAAGGCCGGCCACTCGCAGATTGTCGTTCCGAGTGGTGAAGCCGTACGAAGTCGGAGCCGAAGATGAAAGCATGATGAATTTGGAGGCATCCTCTGTGCCGGTCGTCTCGCCAAAGGTCGTTCCTCCGCCTGTTTTGGGCCCTGACGAGGAACGCCGCACCAGACGAAGGGGCTCCCAACTGTAAGCGCTTTGCATCATCCGTTTAATAACGCTCCCTTGCGCGAATCAAGTGGTTCCCCTCCTCGAAATAATCTTCGCGATAAGGATAATTGCTGAGCAAGAGCGATATGGGATATCGATTCTTTTTAAATTAAATTCAATCGATGATTTTCCATCGTATCCTCGAAAAAAATTCCATCTCAAATTTCGAATTAAATTTCATAAATTTAAAATATACATGTATATTTAATCGTTTTCGATACGATTCTTTTTAATTTATTAATTTATTCCAACGATTTATTTGTTCTAATTAATTCGTCTTCGTTGATTCTCGATTAATTTTTACGGAATTTCTATTCCTAATATTTTTTTTTAAAGTAGAATTTTATTTTTTCTCGAATAGATGGATTTATTACGATGAAATAGAGAAAAGTTTTGGGCCCTGGAGAGGAAGGGCGCTCATCAGACGAAGGGGCTCTCGAGCTGTAACCGGTTATATATCATCCGTTTAATAACGCTTCGATGCGCAAATTAAGTGCTTTTCCCGAAATAATCTCCGTAATAAGGATAATTGTTGAGGAAGAGCGAGTGGAATATCGATTCTCTCACGTGTGTGTTCCAGCATAATTTTAATCGCTTTTGGATAAGTTTTTTTATTTTTTTTCTTTTTAATTAATCGCAAGATCGATTTCGAAATATTTACAACGATTACACAACGAGAGCACAGGTTTCGACGTACAAAAATTCCAATAGAATGTAACAAAAATTCGCGAGTTTAATATCGGAATTTTTTTTTATTCCCACTAGGTAATATTTTTTTGGAACAAGGGCAGAGAGAGAATGTTCTTCCAATAAAAATGTT